GAGGCGAATCTTGGCTTGCCGCGTGACATGATCGAAGAGGTGAGTTGAGTTGACACACGCGTGAAATATGGAAATTGACCCAAAAACGTTTAGGCCGGCAATTTGGGTACGACCTAGGAAGCCGACCCGACCTTTAGCAGAGTCCGTAACGTTGTCTCTTCCGAACCTGACAATGCGCCGCATTTTTAGGGTGTGTCAGAGTTCCTGTCGGGCCCAGTTTCTATACATAGAAACCCTCGCCTTAAATGTAAGGTACGCAATCCTAGATAGAATCGGCAAGTTAGCTCGGACTACAACTAACTTGCACGTCGGAGTGCTAACTTTATTTTGCAGGTCCCCCAAGTGCTCTGGGAGGCCGTCGGACAGTTCAGAGAAGATCATCCAGTCTATTTCTACCTACACTTAATCCAAATTCAACGATTTCGAGCTCAAGCAATATCCATAAAGTCATGTCGGTAAAAACAGATTAAGGTTGACCAAGCCATTAATTAGTGCTTGCTAGCTAAATATTTTAAGGATTTGGATATATGAAACTCTTCAGTTGAATTTCACATATGAATCCACTACATATATATATATATATATATATATATATATATATATATATATATATATATTTGTCTTTTGAAATAAAATCCACTACATATAATTATTTCCCCACCAGTAGCAACCCACTCAATGTGTTGGCTGTGGTATTTATCTTAAAAATCCTCTCTTTGTGTGGCCAAATTAATAATTTGATGTTGACAACAGTTTCCATTAACCTTAATTTCTATTCTATATTTTTTTTTCAACTACCCATAAAGCCCATTTATGGAGTTTTGTATGTGATTTATACACTCACACAAATCCACTAATTAATTATGGGATAGCTGCTAGCACAGTGTTATGTAAATAATAGTTATAAGTACAACTATCTTTTTTTTTTCTTTTTTAAAGTATAATAGTTAGAATAGTTAAAAGGTTGAGAATCAAAGCTCCAATCTCTAGAGAGATAATTAATAAGTTGGTGTGGTCAAAGCTATTTTGAGGTTTATTTTAAGTTAAATCGCTGGCTTGACAAAACTACTCGTAATTATAAGGTTTATTTCCAATTCAATCGTTGGTTGGACGTGACTACTTATGATACTCTAACCCTCAATTGTCTTGTCAACTTACCATAATGGTAGAATCCATCCTCCATCACATCACCACTTTATTGTGTACACATGTATTAATATGATCTATGAGATACTTTAGACAAAATATTAAATTTTTGTTGACACGGACATTTTCATATATCCATAGATTTGACATCAATATGAGATGAATGTCATTTCCATATAAACTAGTAACACAAGAAAGAAAGAATATATATATATATATATATATATATATATATATAATTTTGAGCTTATTTAAAAATGGAAATATTTGTATTTTTTAATTCAAGTATTTATTATGAATTTTTTATTTTTATAATTTTTTCATAAATATCTATGGAATCGATATTCTTGTTATATATAAAAAAAAACTTGAAAGTTGTGAGAGTAAAATAAAACATTTTATGAAATTCAGAAATTAAACTAGAATTTAAACCTTTTCATATTTTCGGTACTCTAACCATGTGAAATATACTGATTATAAAATATTCTTGCATATCCTCAAGCCACCAAAGAAGAAGAAAAAATAAACCACCCATTATTAGTAAACTAGTCTTTTGTAAGTGCATGCATACTTTTTCTTCCTTCTTTTTCTTTTATAATCCTATCTTTAAAACTCTTCCTATAGCCAAATCGGAACTAGGTTAAAGCATCTATCTCCTTCATCGAGATTAGGAATTCGAATCAACTTCAACCTATCTCTTGTATTAAAAAACATGTTAATATAATTTTTTAAAGATAATTCATATAAAATAATTTAATTACTCATAAGTTTGTCTCTCTATCATTATTTTAATAATACTCTAGAAAAAACTTTATCGTTCCAGCTCTGTTTACATTCACGCTTCATTGTTAGACATACTTGTAAAAACCTAGAATCAATGTTAATCTTAATGGAACTCATTTATTTTCAAAAGTGCTATGTAGAATTTGTAAAACGTTAATGCTATATTGTGCATACTTATCGCTATTTAACTAAGTCATGACTTTTGTGCTAAGAAGAACAACGTCAATTACTTTAAATAAAGCATACGATAAATTACAGGTTTTCATAGATTGGATTGGATTGAGTTTTGTTATATTTTGCACCTAACCGATCGTTCTGATTCTAAATTTCTGTAACCCACAGAAATCTTTGTTAAATATGAATCCAATCTAACTCGAAGCCAAATGTATTGGTTGGGTTGGCTTTGCTCGGGTTTTCGAGTTGCCATATAAAAATAAAGGAAAAAAGGAAGAAAAAGGGAACAAATAAGACCCAAACATGTTTTTGCACTCGTACTTAAAAAGAAAACATGTTTTCACTCAATGTAATTTCTAAATAATATAAAACCTATTCGAAAATAACTCCCAAACAACCCTTTTAATTCTTGATGACTTTGAACTTTTTATTGATTTTTAGGAGCCGTTTGTCTTTTCGAAAATGTAGTTGTCCAACGTGTTTAGATGTCTAGAATTTCAGATGTCTGAAATTTTTGATGTCTGACATCTTAAGATAACCATGTTTGTTTTGTAAGAAAATTTATAAGGATGTCTGGGAATATTTGGATAACATGTTTGTTTTTGAGAATTTATTCTTGGAATATTGTAAATTTACGTAATTTTCAAAAAATGCCCTTACTAATATATTCATATAATTTATATGTTAATTTAATATAATATATTTATATAATAAATTTCTTTTTATTAATTTAGTATTTTGTTTTTTATATTAATTCCATATATATTAATTTGTTATGTTATTTTGTAGAAGTCATATTAATATAAGATTTTTTTAAAAAAAGTTATTAATATTAAATATAAATTTTTTAAAAAACTTTAATAGTTTTTTCGAACACAATTATATAATTAATGTTTTACGAGGTAAAAATTATTTATCATATTATCAAATTATATTTTTTATTAAGAAAAAAAATATCAAATATATTGATCGTTAAATTTTAAAATTATATATTTAAGATAATAAAAGTTATTGATAACAATTTCTTCTAAATATTAAAAATAAATTGATATTTATATAATTTAATTCAACTTTATTTTATATGTAAATGTAATATATAGATATATTTAATTGCTTAGTTAATGAGTACATTTCTATTTAAATTATAAAATTAAAAATAAAGATATAGAAAATTAATTAAAGAAAATATATGAAAAACGAACGAAGAGCAAAAATGTAAAAAGGAGATGTCCTCGACGTGGGAATTTCGGAAACCCATGTTTCAAAAGCATCTAAATCGACTCAAATGCCGTTCATTTGAGCATTCTAGAATACTCAGACATCCCGAGATACCTTGATAACTTACACTACCGAAGGAAAAAAAAAAGTGGCAATCCAGAATTTTAGATTCCGATGAAACAAAGGGCCCCTTAAATTGATAGGGTTTGTTCATACATTATTTTCTAAAAAAGTGACCGACGTTGACATCAATTGACTTAGTTACACAGCTAAATTCAACATTATTCTTCTCGTCAGGATTATGTTTAACAAAGTGTGGAATCACTAATTAACTTGAGCATAACTTAATTAATTAAAGTATATATTCTCAATTGAAAGGTCGGAGTTTCGAATTCACACCTCCACATGTTGTTAATCTAAAAAAAAATTGAAATAACACTAAATTTAATACTTGGAAAAATAGTAAAAGCATAAAGAATTTGGGAAAAGAAATATTACGAAGAACCCCCAGTAAAATTTTTTTAAGTACAACTAAAATCTTTGTTCTCTTTGTAATAAAATTTAAATTCTTGGTTTAAATTATCCGAAAATTCTTTCAAATGGTTTATTTAATTCTTCAAGAAAATGCCCCATAGTTTATTTGGATTTATAGAATTATTATATAGTCAACTTTAAAAAATCATAATCACAATCATACATTATAGCCATTTATTCATTTTATGTAAATAAATGTTGCATCTTTTTAATTTAAATTTTATGATATTATTCACCCACTCATTTCAACAAAAAAATAATATATATATATATATATATATATATATATATATATATATATATATATAAATCACTCTCCAAACTCATTAAATTTGTTGGAAATCAATCTCAAACAAATCAACGTTAAAGATCAAGCCTTAATGCTAAAGCGAGCCTAGCTAAGTGGTAATTAGCATGTAACTCACAACCTTGGTTGGAGTTCGAATCTCCTCTCCAACATGTTGTACTCAAGGGAAAAAAATCATCAAGCCCTAATAAATCAAGGTGCAAAATCAACCATGGAATAAATCTCCCAAACTCATATGAGACCTCCGTTACCTTCCACTGAAAGTCAAATAGAAGATAAAAAAATCGGAAATATTGATAAAATTTTAAAGATCTAATTTGATGAAATCAAACATATTTAGGTTAAAAATTCACCTTTCCAACATCAAGAGAAAAATTCTCTCTCTCATATTTATCTAGCTAGTTCAAATATCCTCATTTTAAACTTACAATCTCATGTCATCAAAGATTAAAATAAAAGCAAGCTAATGGATAATATATATTTAATGGTACATATACATAGAGAGAACTTTGTTTAGACTTTTTTCCCCTTTTTTCTTTTGACAAAAATAATATATATATATCCTTGAAGATCATTGGGAAGAAGTTTGTGGTACATTCCATTAGAAACTAACAAAACTACTAAATTCAAACACATGGTTGGAATTTTTTAAAATAAAAATAGTGGAAATTATTAGGTAGATAGCCATTTGAAGACTAATAAACCCAAGTCCTTATCTAAAAATATGCTAGTTGACATGTGGGAACTAACTTGCTTGAGACTTTCTTTGATCTCTTTTCCCTATAAATTGAAAGCATTTTGGAGAGATTTGACATATTATATCACACACTAGTAAAGTTTCTAAGCTTTATTAGAATCCACATTTCAAAAAGTCAGATTTTGACAAAGAAAATGAAGGGCTTAAAAGTTCATTTGCTTGTCATTGGTGTTGTTTTAGTTCTTCAATCTCTTCCATCTTTCGGGTTTGACCCGAGTCCTCTTCAGGACTTCTGTGTTGCAGCCAGTGACCCGAGATCTCCTTGTATGTGCATTCATTTCTCTTTTTACATTACTGTTACATAGTCAAAAGTGATTTAAAAATTTTTAAAAGTACTTGGAACGTCCTTACACTTAATTAGTGCTTCTTCTAAAATATTAAGAGAAGAAGGTGGCTTATTTAAAAGAATTATCCAAAACTCATTGTGAAATTGATTTTTAAAATGCTTTTTTATTTTAAAAAATTAGTTAAAAAAACTTTTAAATAGCTATTTTTAGAATTTTTGTATGCTCACAAATCACTTATTTGTAAAATATGGTAAAACCGTGACTTTGTGAAAGATCATTTCAATTAATATTTTAGGATAAAAAAATTATTCTTCTATGTATATTTTGACAAGATACTGTCGTGGAGGGGAGTACACTACTTTTTCTTAATTAACGGAGACGCCATGTATGCAATTACATATAATGAGTGGATGGTTTGTGTTTAACATTGAGTATAACTCAACTGGTTAAGATAGTTAATATGTCCGATAAAAACTCTAGAGTTTAAATCCTAATTCCCATCATGTACTAAAACAAGAGAAATAAAATGGTTCTTTTCTATCTATTTTGAATATTTTTTACAATTAAGGTTATTAAATAATTAGTTACCATTTCTTTTATTTGTAAGTTACGGTACAACACTTTTTTTAAAAAATTTATTTGTTTTAGAAATTTTCTTAGATTTTGAAAAACTGAGAAAAAAAAGAAGATAAAATAACCCTTTTTTCTTTTGTAGTGTTTGTGAATGGCAAGTTTTGCAAGGACCCAAAATATGTTAGCGCCAACGATTTCCTATTCCAAGGACTCAACATCCCTGGAAACACTGAGAATCCAAATGGCTCAAATGTCACCTTGGTTAACGTAGACAAGCTACCTGGACTCAACACTCTCGGCGTCTCCTTGGCTCGCATCGACTACGCTCCCTATGGCTTGAACCCACCTCACACCCACCCACGAGCCACCGAACTTCTCGTGGTTGTGGAAGGCACTCTCCTCGTTGGCTTCATCACCTCCAATCCAGACAACAAACTCTTCACCAAACTTCTCTACAAAGGAGATGTGTTCGTGTTTCCTATTGGTCTCATTCACTTCCAGTTCAATGTCGGGCGTACACCAGCGCTTGCTTTCGCGGGGCTCGGCAGCCAAAACCCAGGAGTTATCACTATTGCCAATGCTGTGTTTGGATCCAACCCTCCGATCCCCATTGATGTTCTTGCAAAAGCTTTCCAATTGGACAGCAAAGTTGTTGCCTATCTTCAACAGCGATTTGGGGGAGGAGGAGGAGGGCGCTATTAGAGAAATCTCCACTTAAAATAATGTCAAAAGTTGGATAAGTTATGAAACAAAGTGTTAAGAGTGGCATAAGTTTGGGGTTATCTTATCTCGCTTGTGTACCATCTTCTTCAACTTTGGGAAATAAAAAGTGGCTTCTTTATCCTCTCTTCAACTTCTAACTTTTTAACTCCAACAAACATGGTCCTTTTCTCACAATGTATGAAAAATTTTACCCATATCCAGTGGTCCAAAGACATCCATCCGTAACTATTTCTTTTGTTTCTAAATGTTTTGAAAATTGTGTATAAAATTATAAAACAACAAAATCAAGATTCTTATTTCTATTTCACGTTTCCATTTCTTTTATCAAATCATAAACAAAAGCATATGTGTAACTAAAATAATGCACAAAATATCTAAAATTAAATAGAGAGAAGAAATTGTTGAAATAGTACAAAATGAATATAAAATATATATATATATAGTGTTTATATATTTTATATATTTCAAAATATGTCACCTATTTTTAAATTTTCAAATATATATCAAACACTCATTATAAGTATTGATTTAAATCTAAATTCAAATTAGATTTGAATTAAGGAGCAATTAACCCACAAATGAAGGGTTTGATCATCCCAACATTCTAGAAAAAACAGGAATGACTCCTAACCACCCTTTCATTTGAATTTCAAGTGTTCTGTTTAAATACTTGAAGACTGGTCTTGTTTTTATTCTATTTTATTTCTTTGCTATTTTGTCTCAATCTGTCAAAATCACTTCTTGATTTATTTTTATGTATTTGTTATTGAAAATATGGTAAAGATGATAAGGACACCAAAATTGGTTAGAATAAGAGTTCAGAGGCTAAAATGAATAAGACAATAGAAGATTTATCCCTTATCAATTTATAACCGGGTCATGAATTGGATTTGATATACTTATTCCAGTATATAATCCAAGTAAATAGTCAGCTTCAAATGATTATTTGGGAAGAAGGTTTTGTTGCAAGATGATTGAAGACTGAGTGTTTTAAAATCACTCTTGTCTCTTGAGTGCTTTAAGAACTTCTTAGATAATGTTTGGAATCGACACAGTGGTGATAACCTTTATGAAATTATGACCAAAGCTTATGTGTACGAGCTCAGTATACGAGCTGCTTTATAAAAGCATAAGGCTTCAGTCTATGGAGAAAGGATCCATCTCAACCGAAACAAACGTGGAGTAGTTGTTTGCAACCATAAAATTCTAGAAGTTCTTTATGAACGTTTTAAAAATTCATTTCCTGTTTGTATGATTGAATTGTAAGTGTTTCATGTACATGTCATATGTATATATTTGCCTATATTGGTATATATTCAATGAAGTATAGTGCCCATTGTTTGGTATTTGAATCTGGGTGTTCGAATGATGATTGTGTTTCATTATTATTTTATACTTTTTTGAGAAAGTATTTGTTTATTTTACAATGTGATGAATTTGTCAATAATTATTTTGTTTAAACATAAACAATGATTTGAAAACTTAGTGAAAGTTTTTGACTCGATGTTGAATAATATAATTGTTATCACATAATTTGAAAATTGTAAAATAATAAGGGTAGTGTGTTATGCATGTAAATATATGTATGTGCAAATATGTCTTGTAGATTCTAAGAAAATGACATCTGCTCCTAAGAATATAATTGTTGAATTGAACAGAAATGAGAAGCTTAATGAGGATAATTATGAGATTTAGACAACCAAGAGGTTGTAGAAGTGTTAAGCAAGTTAACTAATCCTGAAAAGGGCAACACTAGTCAATGTAGGAGGGACAGGGAGGCTTATGAAGCCTGGAAAAAGAAAAACTTATTTGCTCGCATTACGTTGCTAAGTAGCATAGACAACGATTTCATGCATGAGTATCACTCTTATGACATTGTCAATGACATGTGGGAAGCATTAAAGTTGAAAATTTGTGGGACCTCTGTCACCAAAGTTAGGCAACTTACTATTAAATTTGATACGTACAAAAAACACTCTAATTATAATATGAGATAACACATAAGAAAAATGTCTAATATAATTAGTGAACTAAAAGAAACTGGCCATTTCTGATTTATGAACAAAATGTTGAAGCTGCTACGAATTGGGAGCACATGAAAGCGCATTTCTGATGTTTCACGTCATCTTGAACTGGAAGAAGACCACATGGAGGTTGTTGGATTTTATGTCCTAAAACTCATAGTTTGAAAATGCCGGATATACTTTTATCATTCAATAAAGTTGTTATTGAAGGTTATAATCAATAAGTAGTTATTGATCCAATAAAATGTTCTTACTAGATCTAAATCCAATAAACTATGGATCCTAGACTGTTACATGAGACTCAACGTTTATGTAGACACATAAATATGGATCAAGTTTGAGTTAACAGTCTAAATGGTCTATAGTATAGGAATAAGGTTGGGCCGCCTTATTCTGGGGACACTATGGATGCGACCCATTTTGTAGCTAGTACAAACGATGTGATCCTAATTCGTTCATGTGAAGACATGCGAGTGGCCGGGGGCGTCCCATGCAAAGAGTTTGCATAAGACCAGACCATGAGATAGTTACTTTTACTTTATAACACCGTTTACTATCTGAAACTAACTATCTTGACTTTGATGGCCTAGGTAACTTGATCTTAATTCTAAGCTAACTATGAATTTCTGTTTACTTGGGATTATCCTTAGATCTGCATGGGTGAGAGCAGCTCAACATCGCTGGCTCAATAAGCCTCCTATTTCAGGGGTAAGACTAGGTAGATAGCTAGGGACATAGGGTGCAAGAAGGAATTCACTTCTACCCAATTTTGGGATAGTAGAGAGGTTGTTCTCTTAAGGGTTGAATCTAGGTCTTGAACAATTGGCGCCACCCTCATCAAAAGGTTTGAGAGGATTTTTTGATTTGATAGTTGAACTGCAAATCATTGTTCGTTAGAGGATCAGTGAGACTTAAGGAACAAGAGGTAACTACAGGGATAAAACGTATTTTGACCAAACTATAATTACGAACAACCTGTGAATGATCGACTTACCGATCATGGTTATATCAAATGGACATAATATATCTACAGTGAGGAGAGTGCAGCTACAGGCTTTAGTGGAGTGACCCGGTAGTTAACGAATGTTGGTTAACTAGGCTAAAGAGTTTAACCGGTTAATCTCGGATCGTTGGAGCTCATGATCTGTAGGTCTATAAGGTCCCCTGGCTAGCTCATATAGGAATAAACTTGGAATAATTTGAAGGAATAATTCTAACCGTACGAATTAGGTTAATCATATGAGATACGATTAAGTAATTGATATATGATATCAAATTGAGAAATTTGGTCAAAATATTTAAATAGGATTTAAATATTAAAATTATGAATGCGGATTCATAACCGGAGGCATGGATTTCGTCAAACTGTCAGATTTCGAAAAATGTCAAATAATTGACTTTGACTATAGAAAGTCAAAGGTTGACTAAGAAGATTAAAATAATGTTTTTAACCAAGTTGGTGGAAAATTCCACTAACTTGTTGAGTGGAACATTTAAATAATCTCAAAAAATCTACTTTTTGATACTTAACCATGGCATGCATGAGTGGAATGTGTATTGTAAGTTTTTGGTGAACTTAGCCATGCCATGAATGAGTGGAATGTGTGTTGTAAGCTTTTGCTGAACTTAGACATGTATTTTGACACTTAGCCATGTCATGCATTAGTGGAATATGTGTTGTAAGATTTTGGTAAACTTTGACATGCAAGAGTTGCATGTAATTTGCCTATTTAAGAGGTCTTTGTTCAAACATTGAAATCTCTTGGAACCTTTGACCAATTGAAGTTTTTCAAAAAGCTTACATAACTCATTTTAGCTTGATATTTCTCTCAAATTTTCCTTCTCTAAAAAGAGTCTCACCACTCTATTCCAAGCCTTGAGAATAGCTAGGAAGATCCCTTGGTCGTCTTCATTGGAGCTATTTGAAGAAATTTGAAAAGCTACAAAGGTAAGTATTTTTCTCTACTTTTCTCTAACCATCATAATGTATGATCATGCATATTTAATCCTAGGTTGTATTATGCATCTAGATTGTTATTTCGATCCTTACTCGCTTTCGTTGCGCATGTATGTATATTTTCCATCATGTGGTATCAGAGCATCTAGAATAACATTCATTTGCGTATGGTGGGTACAAATTCATTTCATGAATGTTGTGGTTGAATTAAATTCATTTGCATGCAATAATGTCATTAATTTATTAATACGTTTAATAAACTAAAACATTAATATACAACTTCCAATATAAATAGTTATGTTGGGCCGTCTAAACATTCACTTAGTTAGCCGAAATTTACCTAAGTAATATACCGTAGTCTTAGAATACTTAGTGGGAGAAAAAGAGAATATGTAATATACTACGTATATTTTTTATATACAAGGTATATATGACATTTTTTCTCGCTCACGTTTCTCCTTAAAGTTCACATTGTGAGTTCCATGCTCAGCCTCGTGTCGCCCTGAGCGCGACCTCCCTACGAAAGGTGTTTGCATGGTTTAATATCAGGTGAATGGAGATAGTATTCATAGTAAGTGGGAGAATGATGTGTGACAACGCATCCTACAGTATCCACCATTAGTTTGCATCGTGAGACTTCATACATGACATGTGTGTCGTTCTAGAGCGATCATCCTTTCCATTGTATGAACTCGAAACCAAGGTAAACTCCATAAATGGATAAGGGTTTCTTAGGTTTTGCTCCAATTTGTCCTTCCCTACGGCGGGATTATTGGGGCGGACCTTCAAGGTCTGAAAATGGTGGGTCACACTTACGGGGAATTGTTAAGCTAGTTAGCAATTTATTTAGCTTATACGATTGGATTCAAATGACTAGAGGCTCGAGTGTAGTCCATACACTTGAGTTATCACATATTAAGTGGTTGTTGGTAAGTTATCTTTTTGTGCGTGCTTGACTACAAATTGGATTTTTTACATCTTTTTAAGTTAATTTTTGTTTTCTTGAATTTTGATTGATAGTCCTTTCATTTGATGTGTTTTGACTTCAATTCGTATATTGTGGTCAAGTCTTAATCACCAAGAGCATAAGACTCAAGGTTTTTGCATCTTGTTTTTCTTAGTATCCTTTGTCATCAT